GCCTCTCCTCCCGCCTCGCGCGTCCCCCCGGGGGCGACTCTCCCCGCTCGTCCAACTCCCGCCTGGGGCGACTCCCCTCACTCATGTCCCCCATCAGTCTGGGACGACTCCCCCCATTGGACCCCTCATCAGTCTGGGGACGACTCCCCTCAATCGCCCCCCTTCAATTGGGACGACTTCCCACATTCGCCCCCCATCAATCTGGGGACGACCCCCCCAACTCGCCCCCCACCCCCTGCCCCGCCCATCCGGCGTGTGTCACCCCCGCTCGCCCGCCGCTCCCGCCCCACGTACTGACCTGTACAGCAGCGGGCGGTGGAGGGCAGGCGTGGGACCAGAGAGTGCTGAGCGCTGGGTGACTTTGAACCTGACTTTTCTCATCGTTGTCAAAGAACATTTACAAACGGCCCAGCTAACTGCACGAGGTCGTGGCCCTGGGCTTACAGAAGAGAATTGAGTCTGCACTCCGTGCTTTCTGGGGATATAAAAAATGTCATTTATGAAATTGTACTCACCGGTGTCCTAACACTCCGGTCCACCTCCGAAAATAGTTCCCTATGGCTTATGAGATGCAGTTGGGCGGCCCTTCCTCGCTGAGTGAATAAACCAGCACCACAAACTCAGCACTCCCAAGTCGCGTTCATTCCGACCAGGCAGGTGCTGTGGGTTCGAGGGCCTGGGTGTCCCAGAACTTTGAACTACTGTGTATAACATTTTGACTCTCCAAATTCATTGCCCTTTAAGGATTCCAATTCGTGGCGCTGCGGATCAATGCTCTGGACTGCGTGATTGATTTAAACTGCAAGGTAAGTGGTTCAAGCTCACCAAAAGCTCCTGGAAACCCTTATACAGGGTTGCTCTGGTTCGGAACCAACACGACAACACTTAACAACAACAACATACGACAGAGTAGAACTGCTCTTTTTGGGTTTACAAGATTGTAAATCTTTATGTGAGCAGCCTCATTTATCTTCTGAAAGCCTGGTGGGTTTGAACTCCCGATCTTGAGGTTAGTGCTTAACCCACTGACCACCAGGGCTCCTTACGTTGAGCACGAGGAGGAGAAACTGATCTGGCTATCGTTGTTGAGTGGCGCTGGCTAAAGGAGGAGGTGGTGATGATTATCAAATCTCTCAAGCACTTGAGTGGAATCAAACATTGAAGCCAGGGATTGGCTCAGAGTAAAAGTTATTTTTCTAGTCATTAAAGTTATCCAGGAGTCCTGGTGTGGTGCTGGATGATAATCACTTGGACAGAAAGGTTGGTTTGAACTGCAAGGTCTGAGATGCAAACTCACCAGCCGCTCCTGGGAAATCTATACAGGGTCTGTGTGAGTGGAACTGACAGGAAGGCACATGACAACAAAAACTTATCCAACAGGTCACCTGGGAAGAGTGAACTGAAAACCTGGAAGGACTGTATACAACTCCTTATGGCTGCTTTCCATTTTGGAGATTCTAAAATTCAAAGAACTATTAAGGATTGAAAACTCTCTCTCTTTTTTAAAATAGGGTGAGAAGAAAGCGTTTCTTCTTTCCACTAAACATCCACCAAATAACTCTTCTGTGCCTCTTTACCAACAACTCTAAAAACACAGCACTTCTTTCTCCCAGCTGATACTTTTCTGTGACTGTAAGTGGACATTGTTGTTGTTAGGTGCCATTGAGTTTGTTCCAACTCATAGTGACCCTATACAGGGTTTCCAAACAGTGGCTGGTAGGTTTCAACCACCGACCTATTGATTAGTAGTCCAGCGCTTCTCCTGCATTGCCACACTTGGTCCATTATTGCAGTGTTGAAGAATTCTTCTCCCTTTATAACTAAATTGTAAGTGTAAGCAGTCATTTAAAATGAGCTTTATTAATATTCTATAAATAAGTTAAAAATTAATAAATGAAGTAACTATATTATACTTTAAGAACAAAAGAAAATGTACACATTTGTTCTTTCACCACATTAATACTTAGTATCTTGGTGTCACACTGTAGGATAAGTTGTTGTTGTTGTTAGGTGCCGTTGAGTTGGTACCGACTCATAGCGACCCTATGTACAACAGAGCGAAACACGGCCTGGTCCTGGGCCAACCTCACTACTGTTGCCACGCTTGTGCCCATTGATGCTGTCACTTGGCCAATCCATCACGCTGGGGCTCTTCCTCTTTTTCTCTGACCCTCCACCTTACCAAACATGATATCCTTCTCCAGCAACTGGTCCCTCCTGACTATATGTCCAAAGTAGGAGAGACACAATTTGGCCATATTGGCCACCAAAGAGCATTCTGGCTGCACTTCTTCCAACATAGATCTGTTGGTTCTTTTGGCAGCCCTTGGCACTTTCAATATTCTCCTCCAACACCGTAACTCAAAAGCACCAATTCTGCTATGGTCTTCCTTATTCACTATCCAGCTTTTGCATGCATATGACGTTGTTGAAAATACCATGGCTTGGGTCAGGCACACCTTAGTCCTCAAGCTGACATCTTTGCTCTTCAACACTTTTAAAAGTTCCTGTGCAGCAGATTTGCCTAATGCAATACGTCATTTGATTTCTTGACTGCTCCTTCCGTGAGTGTGGATAGTTGATCCAAGAAGAATGAAGTCCTTGGCAACTTCAATCTTTTCTCTGTTGATAAGAAAGTTGTTTATTGGTCCAGTGGTGAGGATTTCTTTCTTTCTTTCTTTACATTGAGATGCAATCCATACTGAAGCCTGTGCTCTTTAATCTTCACCAGTAAGCATTTTAAGTCCTCTTCACTTTCAGCAAGCAAGATTGTATCATCTGCATACCTCAGGCTGTTAAGGAGTCTTCCTCCAATCCTGATGTCACGTCTTTCCCAGCTTCTCGGAATATTTGCTCAGTATACAAGTTGAATAAGTATGGTGGAAGAATACAACCCTGTCACACACCTTTCTTAATTTTAAACCATTCAGTGTTTCCATGTTCTGTTCGAACAGCTGCCTTTTGGTCCATGTGCAGATTTCTCATGAGCACAACAATTAAGTGTTACAGAATACTCATACTTAACAATGTTGTTCGTAGCTTGTCATGATCTACCCAATCAAAAGCTTTTGCATAGTTGATAAAGCACAGGTAAACATCTTTCTAGTGTTCTCTGCTTTCAGCCAAGATCCATCAGACATCAGCAATGATATCTCTCATTCCATGGCCTCTTCTGAATCCAGCTTAAACCTCTGGAAGTTCTCTGTCAATGTATGATTGTAGCTGTTTCTGTATTACCTGTAGTAAAACTTTACTTGCCTGGTATATCAAAGATGTTGTTGTTGTTGTTGTTAAGTGCCGTCAAGTCGGTTCCGACCCATAGCGACCCTGTATAGTGTCCAATATTTCTGCATTCCATTGGGTCATCTCTCTTTGGGATGGGCACAAATATGGATCTCTTCCAATCAGTTGCCCAGATAGCGGTCTTCCAAATATCTTGGCATGGATGAGTGAGTGCCTCCTGTGCCGCCTCACTTTCTTGAAGGATTTCAATTTTTATTCCATAAATTCCTGGTGCCTTGTTCTTTGCCAATTCCTTCAATGAAACCTGGACTTTTCCTTCGGTATCATTGGCTCTTGATCATATGCTACCTCTTGAAACGGTTGAACATCATCCATTTCCTTTGGGACGCTTTCTGCATCACTCAGAGAATCCTTCAATAAAGAAAGTCGAGGCTTAAATTTTTCCTTCAGTTTCCCCAGCTTGAGAAATGCTGAGCATGTTCTTCTTTTTTGGTTTTCTGACTCCAGATCTTTGCCCATTTTGTTGTAATATTTGGCTTTATCTTCTCGTGTTGATCTTTGAAATTTTCTGTTCAGCTCTTCTACCTCCTCATTTCTTCCATTTGCTTTAGCATATCTACTCTGGTGAGCAAGTTTCAGTGTCTCTTCTGACATCCATTTTGAGCTTTTCCTTCTTTCTTGTCTTCTTAATGATTTTTTGCTTTCTTCCTGTGTGATGTTTTTGATGTCATCCCACAACTCTTCTGGTCTTCGGTCTTTAGTGTTTAATGTATCAAATATGTGCTTCAGATGATCTCTAAATTTAGGTGGGATATATTTAAGGTCATATTTTGGCTCTCTTGGACTTGTTTTCATTTTCTTCAGTGTCAGTTTGAATTTGCATAGGAGTACTTGATGGTCTGTTCCACAGTCTGCCCCTGGCCTTGTTTT